ATATAAGATTACGTACCCAGACCATAAAATTGGATTTTCTAAATTTTGCAGTCTTAGACCTGAATGGTGCATCCTTGCTGGTCCAAAAGGTACACATTCTGTTTGTGTGTGTACAATACACCAAAATGTTAAATTAATGTTGAGTGCTGTAGATCTTGAAACATCTTACCATGAAATCATTGAAAAGATTGTTTGCAGCAGAAAATCAAAAGTGTGCATGATTCACCGATGCAATAGTTGTCCTGGCATACAAGCTGCCCAAATTTATTTCCAGCAGTATCTCACGCAAAATTATGATCCAAAAAAGCAATATGACAGTGAAAATAATGAACGGTCAGTGGATTTCAAACAGTGGACAACGACAGATAAAACTGAACTATTAACAATACAACTTTCATTAAATGAATTCATAGAGCTTTTGTGTGAGAAACTTGATAAAATTACTTCTCATTCATTTATAGCAAAATCACAATCTAGCTATCTAAAGCATCTCAAAGAAACAATTAGTATTGATGAGGCTATTATACTGGCAGATTTTGCAGAGAGTTACACTTTTGTAGTACAAGACAAGATACAGAGTTACCATTGGAGCAAGAGTCAATGTTCTCTTCATCCAGTTGTCATCTACTACAAGAAAGTGAAATTGGAAATATTTTCTTTTTGTGTAATTTCAGATGATTTGAGTCATGATGTTGAATTTATCAATGAAGTTATGCATAAAATCATTAATCATATAAAAACTCATCTTTGCCCTGCAATTACAAAAATTTATTATTTTTCTGATGGCTGTGCAGGGCAGTATAAAAACTGCAAACATTTTTACAATTTATATTACCATGCTCAGGATTTTTCTGTTCAGTGCATCTGGAATTTCTTTGCAACAAGCCATGGCAAATCTCCATGTGATGGAATAGGTGGCACTGTTAAAAGGCTTGTTTCAACTGCTAGCTTGCAGAGTCTAACAACAGGTCAAATACTATCTTCTCAAGCAATGTTTGAATACTGCCAAAAGTCAATCAGTGGGATTACGTTTGTGTACGTCACTGCCAAAGAAATGGAGCTAGTAAGAATCAAACTTGCTGATAGACTATTAATAGCAACCACTATTCCTGGGACAAGATGTTTTCATCAATTTATACCTTCTTCTCATTCAATTATAAAAATGAAAAGGGTATTCGATGATGATGATTTTGCTCTAACATTTGACTTCCTCAATAAACAAAAATACGAAATTAATAAAATTGAGAATGTTATGATGTCACAATACCTATTTTGCACATACGACAATTTTTACTGGCTTGGAATGGTTTCTGAAGTTGATAAAGAGAATGACGATTTTATGGTAAAGTTTATACATCTAAATTATCCAAGTCGTACTATTGGCCAAAGCGGGATAATAATTGCTGGGTGCCAAGAATGAATGTCATTTCTCTTGTTAAAACACCGTCAACATCTTCTGGACGTCAGTACCACATCACAAAAGAAGACGAAACTCATTTTGAACATCTTTTATCTTGTCAATGAAAGTTGATGAATATTTTACTTTCATTATTTAAATTATATAAACTTCAATTTTAGTCATACTTGGTTTATTCCTTTTCCTTTTTATTTTTGAGCTTTTTTCAATGAAGCAAATTTTTTACTATTTTTCAAAAAGGTTTGCATTTTAGTTTCTTATTTTTTAACACAACAATACCCTATTATTAGACATAAAGTTATAATGTTACGTTAAACTATTATAATTAATAAATAAAGAAATTATATTTTCAAACTTTTTTAAGACCTCTTATTTCACAATAAGAGTAAGGCAACTCCAGAAATAAGGAAAGGTAAATCATAGTTAAGAAATAAAAAAATTTAACTGTTTATATTTTAAAATTGAAAAATTATTCTCAAATACTAGAAATAGGGTTCATTTATCTTTAGCTTTGTATTCAATACCTTTATTGGCCAGGTACCAATTTTCAGTCATATTTCTCCACTAGAACTTTAATTATTCACACAAAAAGTATCGCTATAAAGTCTATAATGGAGAATAGAGGCTAAAAAATGATTTTTTTTTTTGTCTAAATTTCAAAATGACATATCTTAATAATTCTTGAAGAAACCAAAACCATCTTTTTTATAACAATAGCCTAGTATCACCTACTTTGTTTGAAAAAAAAATTGAATCCACGAGACTTGGGCAACTCCAGGAGTTGATAAAAGCGCAACCCATGGTAACAGAACAAAAAGTTGGACTGACCATTTTAAAATCAAAAAATAACCATCATAAAATTTAAATTTCACTGTTTGCTTTACATTTTTGATTTCAGCACCCTCAAATATAGTCAGGTACTCATTTTAAGCAACATTCTTCCACTAGATTTTAAATTATTCATTAAAAAGTACAACTACAAAATCCATAATGGCGGACTTGGCAAAAAAAGGAACGTTTTGGGCTGAATTTCAAAACGTCATAACTTTTGAACCATTTGGATTTGGGAGCTCAAATTTTTGATTTTTTCATGTTTCATTATAATGTACCACCTGGTAAAATTTAAAGAAAATCCAAGAGGTGACTGAAATGACTGTCCCAGTTTTACATGGAATGACCTTTAAGTTTTATGGAATTGACTTTCCAGTTTGACTTAAATTTTACTAAGACTGCTGCATTTAAGGCTATATTAGCTGTGTTAATTGCTTTAACCATTAACACCTGTAATAAAATCATGATAAAATCCACAATAATAATTTATTACTAAAAAGATTATTTCAATTATATTTTTATCAAAAATATAATATAATTTAAATTTAATTTAAAATTAAAATATTTTTGCTTGTTAAGTCTCCTGGTTAACTAGGGAAGGGGTTTCATCAACACATTAATAGTTTTAATATTTTATTTATTTTTAATATTTATTATATTAATATATATAATATTTAATTTGTGTCACTTCCCTAGTTAACCAGGTCTCCCATTGTTAACTAAGGAAGTGGTTACATCAGGTCTCCTGGTTAACTAGGAAGGCGTTTCATCAATACATTAATAGTTTTAATTTATTTCTGCGTACAAATAGTATTTTTACTGAAAGCTTATTATTTGTAGGCGCGTACAAATAATGACTTTCAAAGTAGTTTTAATTAATATTGGGTTGGGGAATAAGTTCATTCGGTTTTTTTCAAAGAGGATTATTTAAAGAATTTGTTTGTTGCTGAGCAAAGAGTTTGTAATCATGTGTTATTTGTATTTTCGAATATTTTTAGCTTTTCTCATTTTCCACCCTTAGAAATGGAATACTAAGGTGGCAAAAATCAGCATTTTTGACACCTATTTTTCTTCACTTTTCATCGTGGTCAAAAAGCAGCTGAAGCTGTTTGTGACATATGCAACATGTATGAGAAGGTGTCATAGGTGAGCACGCACAGAAATGGTTTGCGAAGTTCAAAACGGTGACTTTGACCTTGAAGACATACCTTGCAGCGGACGACCCACAGAATTTGATGAGGAGCATCTCAAGACACATTTGAAGGAAGATGGTCGCCAAATAAGTCATGAGATGGCCAAAAAAATAAACTGCGATCATAAGACGATTCTCAATCATCTTCATTCAATGAGATTTGCTGAAAAACTTGGAGCCTGGGTGCCTTACAAGCCTAATGAAGTCAACAAAGTAAAATTATCTTCAAATTGCTGCTCAACACCTTGCGCGCCAAGCAACAGCGCTTTTTGTATAAATTTTTGTATAAACAGCGCTTTTTGTACCGAATTGTCATGGGAGATGAGAAATGGTGCCTTTATGTCAATATGAAACAAAGAAAGGAGTGAGTGGCCCGGGGACACACTAAAGCCAAGAGTCAAGCAAGATCTCCACCGGAAAAAGACCATGATCTGGATTTGGTGGTACTGGGAAAGTATGATGAAAGTACACTGGGTACTGGGAAAGTATGATGAAAGTACACTGGGATATGCTTAAAAGGAATGCAATGGTCAACAAGGAGCTCTACATTGCGTAAATAAGGCTATGCTGACCTGAACGAAAAGAAAAAGTCATCTGGCTCCATGACAATTCCTAACCCTATGTTACACAAGTCATTAAAACTGCACTCCAAGAGCTCAAATGAGAGGTTCTTCAACATCCCCCGTACTATCTGGACCTTGCACCAACAGATTATTGTCTTTTCCGTTCCTTGTCGAATCAAATAAGGGGTGTTAACTTTGACGACGAAGAGGACCTCGAAAACTGGCTTAACATTTTCTTCGACACCAGACTGGGCGATTTTTGGCGGAACAGCATCAACAAATTAGCCAGAAGGTGGGGAGAGGTTGTAAACAGTAACAACAAATACATAATTGATTAATTTATTGTTATGATTATTGTTTTTTGTTTAAAGAAAGCTCTTTGAAAAAAACCAAACAAACTTATTCCCCAACCCAATGATAATTAAAATTTACCACCACTATATTGAAATGTATTAACTAGTTGAACTACTGAAAGCATCTAAGAAAATTTAAAATATTGTATTTAAAATCAAAAATTGCATGACATTATATATTGGAGGCCCCTTATTATCAAACAAGTTTTTTATTATCAAACAAGTTTTTTATTATCAAACAAGTTTTTTATTATCAAACAAGTTTTTTATTATCAAACAAGTTTTTTATTATCAAACAAGTTTTTTATTATCAAACAAGTCATGTTTTAATCTTACTTATTAGCGTTTTGAAAAAAAAATAAAAAATTTTTTTTAAAAAATTTTTTTATTTTTTTAAAAAGTAAAAAAGCTGTTAAAAAAATAACACAGTAACTTTTACTTGGAGTACATTTATATATATATATATATATATATATATATATATATATATATATATATATATATATATATATATATATATATATATATATATATATATATATATATATATACATACATACATATAAATTTACATATTTTTACATTTTTATGATTAACATTGTATGTTAATCAAAGCATGTTGAATTGAAAATTATTTTTATTAGGAGCTAGTGTTGATTGGTGGGCACTTGGTGTTTTACTTTATGAGATGCTTGCTGGTAGGTCACCATTTGATATCGTTACAGCAACAGATAACCCAGATCAGAATACTGAAGATTATCTTTTCCAAGGTTTTTACTTTAATAAGTTATTATTTTTTATGATCAAAATTTGGATTTTTTATATATTGGAATTTATTCACTGACTAACCAGTTTTTTTTTTTTTTATTGCTTTGTATTTTGAAAGGAAAAATTTTGACTTATTAAGTGATGGTATTAAGATTAGCTACTAATGCGTCAGTAAACAGTTTCATGATACATAATATAGTTTTATGGTACATAATATAGTTTCATGGTACATAATATAGTTTCAGGATTTCAGACCAATAATAGGTCGGACAGGAGAAAAAAAGTAAGAGTTTCACATTTGTAATGTTTCAATAAATTTTGATAAAGTAAAGAAATCATTGTAAATGAAGAATTTGAAGTTTGGAAGAAGTATGTAATCATTTTGGAAAAAAAATTCTTGTTAAAGCAGAAATCAGGTCAGTAAGAAATGTGGAAGATATGTGAGAAAAAAAAAAAAAAGAATTAACTTAAGTATGATCATGGCTCCTCAGAGACATAAAATAATAAAATAGTGGAATCATGATGAATGCAGAGGTTAAGTTGTAGAATGTAAAAGTTTTATAAAATATAAAAAAGTTTGAGATAAGTTTCTGTACTGCGAAACTATTTACACAGCAAAACAACCTACATAGGACACTCAATTAAATGAGCTGTACTATTTATTTCTTTAAACGATTTTTAATTTCTTTTTTGATTTTTTCATAATTTTTGATGTTTTTCTATAATTTAATTTTAATTTAATAATTATTAAAAATTATTAAATTATTTATCAGTGATTTTGGAAAAGCCTATTAGAATTCCACGATCGCTATCAGTTAAGGCTGCATCCTGTTTGAAAGGATTTCTCAATAAGGTTAGTTAGTCTGTGGTTTTATTTTTGTTTTGTTTTAGTTTTCACATTTTAATTTTTTGTAAAAATCATTTTTAAATACTTTGGAGATAAGGTTTTTCATTCAACTTAAAGTAACCTATTCTTTTATAAAACCACCTGTTTATATTTAAGGTTGCCAAACTTTTTTTCTCAAAAAAAGTTTGGCAACCTTAATGCTCCAAAGCATTTAGGTTTCCAATATTTTTCTTGTTTTTATAACAATTTAAGTTTTTATTACCTTTTAACCTTTTAACTTTTATTTGTTACCCTTTAACCTTAATAAACTTTTTTTTTTTTTATCAAAAAAAAAGTTGTTACTAAAACCAGTAAAATACTTTCTAAAAAAATTTTTTTTTAATAAAATAGAAATTTTACTCAAATGAAAATTTTTAAATGAAAAATATCATATATATATATATATATATATATATATATATATATATATATATATATATATATATATATATATATATATATATATATATATATATATATGTATATATGTATATATATGTTTCTTCTTGTTGATATCAGTCTATCATAGTATTCAGTTTCTTCTTTGTTGATATCAGTCTCTTGTTATTCTGTAGTAATTTTGTTAAAAAATTACATTAGTTAAAATTATGTGTTTTTAGGTTTTCTAATCTTTTTCTTGATATTGTCAAAGATATTTCATATATTTACTTAAAATACATCAATGGTATTATATATATTCATTTGAGGATTCTATGAATCTTACAATAAAATTAGAATGAATCTTATTCTATCCTCAAATGAATTGATCTAAGATAATAAAATTCTATGATTCCTCAAATGTATCAACAAGCTCATAAGTTGAATCAAAAAAATTAGGATTTTCACTTGCAAAACAAAAACTAAATATATAAAACAGAATAAATATTAATTTCTGGCCTCTCCTATAATATGGTATTTTCATCAACAGACCTTCTTCAGATCATACTATTGAGCATATCTTCCTTGGATCATGCTATTGAGCATATCTTCTCTGGATCATGCTATTGAGCTCATCTTCTCTGGATCATGCTATTGAGCATATCTTCTCTGGATCATGCTATTGAGCATACCTTCTCTGGATCATCCTATTGAGCATATCTTCTCTGGATCATGCTATTGAGCATATCTTCTCTGAATCATGCTATTGAGCATATCTCCTCTGGATCATGCTATTGAGCATATCTTCTCTGGATCATGCTATTGAGAATATTTTCTCTGGATCATACTATGCAAAGTTTACACCTTATAGTTTTGAAATCAATAGAACATGCGTCTCAATTTTTTTTTTCTACTGTGAACATAATAATCAATTTAGTTTTAGTTTTTTTAGATTTTTGATGAGTTCAATAACTTGTGGAAAAGCATTTATATTTAAAAAAATTAGGAATTTTTTATTGATATTTGGTAGAAATTTATTAAAAATAATAAAATCAAGTTAATATTTTGTAGAACAATCTTTACAATCAGAAACAATCAGGCTATGCATCTGCAAAGCATAAAGTTAACTAAATTAATGCAAACATCAATGAGAATTGATTGTAATATTTCTTCGATTTTTCTGAATAAATTACATTATTTGTAAGCTTTATGACTAATATTTGAAGACTAATATTTGACGGTCGTCATTTTGTAATAAATAATCATAGGCATCTTTTTAACTCAGTTGATTAGGATATCAGTTGATTAGAATATCAATTTCAAAACATGAGTTTTACTCCTTTTAAAGAATTCTTGAACCAATTTACCCGTTGATTGTTTTCCTAATGCTAAATCCATCCACAACATATTTTATCCTTCACATGAGGTAACTCAATGCTAAATCCATCCACGACATATTTTATTTTTCACATGAGGTCAATGCTCTTTCATATGTCTTTGTATACTTCTTGATCAATAGTTCCCACAGTGTCACAAAATGCAAATTAATTTGAAATTTCTGTCCCGAGAGAAACCTTTTTGAGTATGGTAGTACACAAATTGGTGGTCACATTGATATATATCCCAAAATTAGACTATTACGTCTAAGAGAGAAGAATTGATTTTTAGTTTTCAATGAAAATTAATATTTTTAATTTTGATTTTTTTTTAATTTGGATTTTAAAGTTTGTTTTTAAAGACTGTGTTGTGGTTTTATTTTATTTTTTTAGCAGTTTTGCTTTGAATTTAGTTTTAATTGAAATAAATCACAGAAAACACAAAATAGTAACATTACAGGTTTAACTTTTAAAAATTAACTTGGCTTAATTTGTTCTCTCAAAATTCCAAAGCAAAGAATCATGATGAATGCAGGAAATTTGTATGTTTTTTGTGCTTTCCAAAAGCCAACAAAGTGATGACTGATTTTTAGAGCATTCACAAAAGGTTTTAGCAAATCATATTGATTTCAATGACCCTCGAGTGCTGTCTGGGATATGTGAAAAGTGCGGCATGTTTGTTTGAGCATTCACAAAAGGTTTTAGCAAATCATATTGATTTCAATGACCCTCGAGTGCTGTCTGGGATATGTGAAAAGTGCGGCATAGCTCTTAGAAGAAGAGATTCAGGTGAAGTTGCTTCTCTATACGCCTTAGTTGACTATCAAACAGTGAAGATCCAACTACATTTCATCCAACTACAAGAGATTCAACATGCAACTGCTTGATTTGTTGCATTGGACAAAGACAAAACTCAATAATCCTCTACTAGTTAGCACTGCCCAAATAGTTGAGAAACGATGTTTCTCAGCAGTTGAGAAACGATGTTTCTCAGCAGTTGAGAAACGATGTTTCTCAACTGCTGAGAAACATCGTTTCTCAAATTGTTGTGCTTTTTTACATGCTTTTTTATCATTGGTAGAGGTCTTTATCTTAGTTGCACCAAACAAATGAATTTGAGCCACAAAAGACAATGTTACAGCTGAAAAAAGTAGCTACTTTGATGATTTCAAACAAGACTCCTTCACATCATGGTAATGTAAGACTAAATCAAAGAAAAGGAAAACTTCCTGTGGTTCCAGGTAATGTATTTTTTGGGTTAATAATTTTAAAATTTATGAATATTTAAAAAAAGTTAATTAAAGCTATAAGAATTATCCAAGAGTTTATCAAAGAAAAATGCAAAAGCTTTACTAAAAAAATATTTTTTCAAAAACATCCAAACGTAAAAAATTATTTCCAGCTGCATGGGCCTTAACAGCTCAAAACCTCCTTGTTGTTCACAGCCAGACTGGATTATCAAACTGTAGTGTAAACAAACTTGCATCAACCCTAAATCAAGTGACTTTACAGAGAATTGTTGAAAAACACTTTCTAGCCAAGTTTGATTCATTAGGAAAACATCTTTCTGATTTGTTTGTTACTTCAGACATTTGTGGTTCAACAAAAAGTAACACCTCAGAGTCAAAAAGGCTTTTAGTATACTTTTAGTATATTGCAAATACTTAGAGTTACTGAGTAGAACTACAATCGATAACAGCAATCTCAGAAAATTTTCCTAAAAACTATAAAAATGTCAAGCAGGTATTAAACAAATTAGGTCTTGATAGAATAATATTTGTTTTATCATGTGACATGAAACTTGCCAACATTGTGTGTGGTCTACAATCTTATTCATGCACTCACCCTTGCACTTGGTTTAATGTGGAGTCAAAGAATTTTCACCAGAGTGGCGAACTCAGGACCTTTGGGTCCATTCAAAGTAATCATAAAGCTTTTAAACTGCTGGAGCCAACTCCACAAGAGCAATTAAATATAAAAAAGCACTAGAATTAAAAATTTTTGAAAAAAATTTTTTTTTAGAAGTAGCTCAAGATCCTTAAACATCAGACAGGTCTTTATAATTATCAAAAAAATAGTTCTTTAAGTCATGTCATGTTGGGTCTTAAAAGGAGCAAAATTATATAAAAACTTCAATAGCATCATTTTATAAAAAAATTATTTTAGATTTCACTGCCTAAAAAATGACATTTTAAAACTAAAAATATGCTTTTTAACAAGACTTTTTTAGTATAATTTTTTTTTTCTATGTTTCTTATAAAATGATGGTTTTTTTTTTAATTTTTATATAATTTCGCTTCTTTTGAGACCCAACATGATGTACTTTTGAAGAACTTTTGTTTTGATAAATATAGGGACCCGTCTGATGTTTAAAGGTTTTGAACTACCCCTAAAACATTTTTTTTTTTTCAAAAATTTTTTAATTCCAGTATTATATTATTATTATATTATCATTTAGATGGTTATTAAAAAAAAAGTTGTTTAAATAGCCACCCTAGTTGGAATTTAGGATTGGAATAGCAGTTGGAATTTAGGATTGTATTTTGTATCTACTGTCAAACTAACTCAATTCCATCTGATCCGAAATATGTTAACTTGTTTTCATCCCTAAAAAGATTCTTTGATGTAATGCTAATTCTTCTTGGGCGTTTCAGTTTTTCAGGTAAATCAATGTTTTATAGGCTGTGCGTCAAACGCATTTGAATGTTGCAAACAATGTTTTGTAGTAGCAATATTCTTTCCATAAAAACATTTGATTTGTTTATTTAAATCAACAGCTGTCAAATGGTGTTTTTTTTTGTTTAGTATCACAAGCGTTTTATTTTGATAATATGTTGTTTTGCATGGTCTTCTTGATTTCTTTCAAATTTTTGCGGGTCCTGTAAGTTCATATCTCTTTATAATTTTTCTGTCAGCAGACTTACCGGCTCCATAAAATTGTGCTGTCTTACAAAACAAAATTCCATTTGAACTGATGCTCCATTTAAACTTGCTATCAATTTTTCTAATATTAAATTATTAAATTTGAGATATTAAATTTCTTATACGTTATAAATATTTTTTTTAAATTTTTTATTTGGTATATAATGTAATAGATTTAGCAAGTAGACTTTAACTTATTATAAGTATAATAAGTAATTGGATATATTAGTATACTTTAGTAATTGGAGTTCGTTCTGAAATATCAGTAAAATTCAATTTTATTTATCTTGTCCGCAAATTTTTGAACTCTACTGTATTACTTATTTCATAAGTAAGTTTTTGTGTTAGAAATATAAGAAAAATCAAAGTTGTTGAAACATGAACAAAAACACAAGATTTATGCATACTTATCTCTAAATAAATATTGTAATTTTTGTTTTAAAAAAATGTGTTTTTGTTTTTGTCCATGTTGATATTGTAACACTGACATGGTAACACAATATAAATAAAAGCAAAAGAACGACTACAACAAGCTGATATATATTTATTTAAATGTTTCTTTTACTTATAGAATCCTGAAGATCGTTTAGGTTGTCACTTACAGACAGGTTTTAGCGATATACAATCTCATATATTCTTTAAACCAATGGATTGGGAAGCGGTAATGCTTTTTTTATATAGTTTGTTTATTTATTTTCCTAAAAATAGTTTTATTATTCTGTTGGGTTCTATGAGTATACATCAAATGATTTGTCATATGTTCTGTCTGTGTTTATTATGTGTTCTGTTGTGTGTTCATCGTGTGTTCTGTCGTGTGTTTTGTCTGTCTTTATTGTATCAATAATGACCCACAGACAGAGCAATGAGACAGCTGACACAGACAGAGCATTTTAGCATAACCTAAATATCAGTTATTATATCAGTATTATATTTAGCATAACTTAAATATCAGTTATTATATCAAGGTTTTATCAAGGTTATAGAGGATTAATAAGACAATAGCATTCTTGTACAGTATTTTCATATGTTTGTTTAAAATTTCATCGTGAACAAAGGTCATAAAAAAAGTTCTGTTTACCCGTTTTTTTCCAAATGAAATTAAACAAACTCGTTTGTTTTATTTCATCTATTTGAATTTTTTTTCACCTGTGTGAATTATTTACTTTCACCTTTTGCAAATCAAATAATACATTATAAATGTATTATTAGGCTTGCAATCCCTTTAAAATAATACATGATTTTCTTACGTTTTTCCATTTTGCCACACACTTGCCATTGGTAACATGGTAAGGGTGTGGCATGGCAAAGGTGACAAAAAATATTTTAGTACAGATAGTAATAGTGAATTTAAACGTTTTTTGAATTTTCTTGCCAGTATGCAATCTTTTATCTAATTTAAATTCATTTATTCATCTTGGTTACACTCATTCATTCATCTTATTTTCAATCATCGAAATATTTTACTTTCGATCTGATGAATTTTAAACAAAAGATTTTTACTGATATTTAATTAATAGCTTGAACGCAGACAAATTGCACCACCTTTTAAACCAAAAGTATATGCAGAACATAATATTTTAATTTAATTAATAGCTTGAACGCAGACAAATTGCACTACCTTTTAAACCAAAAGTATATGCAGAACATAATATTTTAATTTAATTAATAGCTTGAACGCAGACAAATTGCACTACCTTTTAAACCAAAAGTATATGCAGAACATAATATTTTAATTTAATTAATAGCTTGAACGCAGACAAATTGCACTACCTTTTAAACCAAAAGTATATGCAGAACATAATATTTTAATTTAATTAATAGCTTGAACGCAGACAAATTGCGCCACCTTTTAAACCAAAAGTAGATGCAGAACATGATATTTTATCAAACTTTGATCCGCAGTTTACAACAGAACCTGTCCATTTGACACCTGATGATCCGTAAGTTTCTATATTTCATATTTATTTATTTTAGATTTTCTATATCTTTTTTTCGTTATTTGCATTAATAGTCTAAATTTTAGAGGATTTTTATTAGAAAAAATTTTTAAATTGTCACAAATTATTAGGATATTTGAAATCGAAATTAATCTACGAAAGGAGATTTTCATTGTTGTTATTTTTAGATCTTTGCTGATTTATTTTTTAATTTTTGCTGATTTATTTTTAGATCTTTGCTGGATAAAATTGATCAGTCTGAGTTTGATGGATTTGAATACGTCAACCCTTTATTGATGTCTAGTGAAGACGTTGTTTAGCAATAGCTAACAATAAAATATCACGTATCATGTTGCGAGTCGTAGTCGTATATGTTTGTAGAAATATTTTCCTGTATGATACGCTATTTATTTTTATTAAAGTTTTTAATTAGTCCGAATCATTTTTGAGTAAAAGTTTTATAATAGGTTTAATGAAATATTAAATGGCGAGTAAAAAAGTTTCGTTATCGTTCATTTCGATATTTATTTTGTAAACATTTGTAATTGTGCTAGTATAAATCAAAAAAAAAGAGGACGTGACGAAGCGACTTTCTTTGACGTATTCTCGTATGATGACGACTTTTTTTTTTAATTCAAAAATTATGGTTTTGATATGTTTATAGATTTTTATAGCATGTTTATTTAATCAAGTTCTATTTAGATAAATCACCGTAATTTCTTTTTAACGCTGTTTTAAATAAATTTTTTTTCTTTTTTTTTCCAACACCAATGCATGTCATTTTCACAAATATGCATTTTTTTAAATAGATCTATTTGTTTGAATAATTAACATTGTAAACACAAGACGTGTTTTAGACGTCTAAAAAACGTGTTAAAACGTTTTTTTTTTTTGTTAAAACGTCTTGTGTATACTGGGAATACACAATAATTTATTTGAATGATCATTTATATTATTGTAAATAAAAAGTCTTTTTACATTTTTGTTTATGCAGTTTTACAGTTTTTAAAAAATGTTACTTGGATTTTAATAATAGCGGTGCTCTTTAAGCAAATTATATAACTATATTTTCAGAGAAGGCCATTGGCTTTATCGGCTTGACAGAATTTATTTTACAGTCAAAAACAAGTTAAACACGGTACTTCCATAGGTGTAAGGTAAGATGCAGTATTTCCAGAGCAGTAAGAGAGATTATGAGCCAGATATACCATCACTAGTCTACTACGACGTCGCCAAATGACAAATGTACTAGTCTACAACTGCACCACCTTGTAAGGTTTCTATGATAGTTTGGCGATATATAAATAAAAAATCTCAACATTTACCTTTTTTTAATGAGGTGTAAACTTCACTAAATGTGCTTTAAAATGTGTGTTATTTTACATAATGTTTAATGAAATAATGACTTTTGATGAACGTTTAAAATAATGTAATGAGATATGTCTGAGATAATGAAATGAGAAAAAGAGAAACAAGTCTTCATATATATTTTTAAAAAAAAACAAATTTGCTGCACTAATGTTTAATATTTACATTTGTTTTCATTGTTAAATATAAATAAATATTAAATTTATCAGGTCTAAAATAGCTAAAAATTTGGAATTTTATTTAGAACTAGAACTAGAAATTACTTTAAAAAACTTTATACAAATTTACTACTCACCTATACAAATTTAGTACTCACTTATACAAATTTACTACTCACCTATACAAATTTAGTACTCACTTATACAAATTTACTACTCACCTAAACAAATTTAGTACTCACTTATACAAATTTACTACTCACCTATACAAATTTAGTACTCACTTATACAAATTTACTACTCACCTATACAAATTTAGTACTCACTTATACAAATTTACTACTCACCTAAACAAATTTAGTACTCACTTATACAAATTTACTACTCACCTATACAAATTTAGTACTCACTTATACAAATTTACTACTCACCTATACAAATTTAGTACTCACTTATACAAATTTACTACTCACCTATACAAATTTAGTACTCACTTATACAAATTTACTACTCACCTATACAAATTTAGTACTCACTTATACATATTAACTATACAAATATTGCTTTGGAAAGTATTAGCAAAAGTAAATTGCAACTTCTTAATCATCGGCAGAAGCACGCCATATGCCTAATATGTTTTCAAAATTGTTTTGTGCATACAAAGAATAAAGACTCGCAAGGTTTTAACTTACATGAGCTAAACCTTTATAAAGTTTTATTTTTCAATGTCAAAATGATCCAGGATTACTTATTTTTCAAAGATTTTTTCACATTAAAAGCCAATAATAAAAAACCGTGCAAAATAATAATTTTTTAGAAAACATTTTGTCGAATAAAATTTGGAAGATCCGCCACAGATATGGCAACAGTATTCCATACATGGGCGGATTTGAGATTTATAGATATAAAGAATAGAATCGGGAGTAAGAAAGTAGCAAGCACAGACTTTAGCAGATGCTAATTTTGCAATCGATTTGATATATGGTTTTCAAGAAAGATCGGAAGTAAGAGTTAATCCTAGAAAATAAAGGGTAGATGACTCATAGAATACCGTTCATAAATATAAGATCTAAATTATTGCGATAACTATTAGCTGAAAAGAATTGAGTTTTATCTCAGTTAAAGTTTGCCAACCATTGAGAGCCCCTTTCTGTAGCAGTTTGACAAAAGGGATCATTTAAAAAGTTATTATTTCTCAAAATGTGTTTACTGATTGGTTTAAAAGTAAAAAAGATCTTTGAAAACGATAGGGTTTCTTATCCGTATATATTAAATATATTTAACCAAGGAGGAGAAGGAATAAAAGAAAGTATACTTCTATTATACCTCCTTGATTTATATTAAGAATTCTCATTTCAATAAAATAATGCTTAGAATGAAAGAAGCGATTTGCAAAATTGATTATACGGATTGCGCGCTTCTGACGTAGATAAAGTCGTTGCAGCTGTATTTTTCCAAGCAATATTAGCATAATTTAAATAATTATGTATAAATTAATAATAAAGTTGGATTAAGACTTATTGAAGGTTTGAAAGTAAATTAATACAAGTAACATGAGGCTACTGAAAATTTGTACAAAAAAGATGCTTATAATTATAAAAAAAATTGCTTATAATTGTCATTCAAATTATATTATTGTTTCACAACTGATTAAATAAGTAAGGATAGCAATAATAAATCACCTTAAAACTGAAGTGTTATCCCATGTCAATAGCGTAACGAATTTTAGTCTAAAGCAAGCAAAGAAGGTTTTCAAAGTATTCTGGATTGAAATCTTGTAACTTAAGTTGAATTCTCTTTTTCAGGTGGTTAAGATTTTTTGTTTTGAAATCATTGGAATAGACTCTCTGTTTTAAGTGAGTCCAAAATGTCTCAATGGGTCTTAATTGCGGTACATTTGGTGTATTATCATCCTTAGAAACATAGGTTATATTAAACTTCTTAAAAGTTTTATTTGTTAGCTTTGCATAATGACAGCTTGTACCATTAGACCAAAATGTATTTTTTTATATTTTTGTGATGCGAATTGATGAACGGAACAAGTTTCTTTACAATGCATTCTTTGTAATATACTTTTGCATCAATGGCATTATTCTTAATTGCAAAGAAAGGCTTTGATTTACCAAATCTACTGATTGCAATCCATACTAAAACTTTCGCTTGAAACATTGATTTGAATTTATATTTAATATTGTTTTCAGTTTTGTCTTTATCTTGACTATAAAAGCCATCATTTCCTGGTGTGTTTTGGCTGCTCAATGTAAAATAGGACTCGTCATCTTGATAATTTCAAACTCATTTGACGGTCGGAAGAAATATTAAGAAATATTCGAATTTGTTTGCGAATTTCGAACTTTCAAATTTCGTGAACATTTTTACTAGCCTCGTGTTATATTTTTATCATGTTCGATAAAAAAGATTTTGATCAAATTTTTTTATAGTAAAGATTTTCAAGCTATTGTCATTTTAAACGTGATTTTTTATTCAGAAGTTAATCAAGATTATTATTGTTTGCATTATTCAGCGTTTAAGAAGACTCAGTAGTTTGATAATTGTAAGCAGCACAACATTAAGAAAAAGATAAATTAACTTAAAAACTTTTGTTGAAAAAGTTCTAACCAAAGTTCTAACTGGTTCTAACGTCACTAACCCCGGTTTTTTCAGATAAAAACTGATTTTCTTATTATATTCTAATAAAAAAGAAAATAATATATATATATATATATATATATATATATATATATATATATATATATACACATATACATATATATATATATATATATATATATATATATATATATATATATATATATATATATATATATATATATATATATATATACACACATATATATATATATATATATATATATATATATATATATATATATATATATATATATATATATATATATATATATATATATATACATATATATATATATATATATATATATATATATATATATATATATATATATATATATATATATATATATATATATATATATATATATATATATATGTATATATATATGTGTATATATATACATATATATATATAAAGGGAGGAACTGTGGTACAGTTCCTCCCTTTACATAATTTTAAAAGAAAGGTCAATTTGTAAATAGAACTATTGTTTTTTGAGTGAACTAATTTCTTAATAAATAGTTGTTAAAATAATCATGTATTGCGATTCTGTTCATTTCTGTGTGGTAAATATCAATGACACAGAAAAAGACTTTTAATGTGTTAAAATCCATATTTCTTTATACAAAAAACATATATAGAGTGCGTTTCCATAAAAGTTGATTCTGTTTAAATATCTCAGGAAATAACTTTCCTAAACCACACTCAGTTACTCTTCATATACTATGGGGCGCAAAGAGCAAAATAAAAGAAAACGAATATCAGCAGCTAAAACTTGTCAATCTCTAGATGGATGGTGTACAAAAAAAAACTGAAAGTCATAATCAATCTCTCAATTAAAATGCACCAAACACTAATACCGCAATTTCTAAACAACATGATTCTATTGATAGTCATCTCGCTAAAATATATCGTACTACCAAACAATCAGACTCTTAACCTCTCGCTTTCACTTATGATGTTGGTGAAATATTGAATGCTACAATGAATTATGAAGAATTGAGTAAAATATATACTACCAAACAATCAGATTCTGAACCTCTCGCTTTCACTTATGATGTTGGTGAAATATCGAATGCTACAATGAATTATGAAGAATTGAGTAAAATATATACTACCAAACAATCAGATTCTGAACCTCTCGCTTTCACTTATGATGTTGGTGAAATATTGAATGCTACAATGAATTGTGAAGAATTGAGTAAAATATATACTACCAAACAATCAGATTCTGAACCTCTCGCTTTCACTTAT